TGTGATTGGTTAGCTGGGCCAGTGTGTGCTGTGATTGGTTAGCTGGGCCAGTGTGTGCTGTGATTGGTTAGCTGGGCCAGTGTGTGCTGTGATTGCTTCTGAAATACGAAATGTGCTGTGATTGGTTAGCTGGGCCAGTGTGTGTTGTGATTGGCTCCACTCGGCGCCATGTCGGGAAATGACATGCTCCTTACCACTGCCAGCTTCAGTCTAAATATTGTGTCAAAATCAAATCAATTTGCGCGCGATTTAAACCCGGATGATTGTAACCACTCTAAGTTCGTCTGCCTTGTGAAAACTAGCGCATCTCCGACATAGTGACCAGTGATGGGAAGGTTACTTTGAAAATGTAATAGGTTACAGATTACAAGTTACCCTATTTAAAATGTAATAGTAGTATAACTTTTTTATTAAAGTAATGTAACTGATTACTTTTGGATTACTTTTCAAATTTTCTAATGAATGTTTTCAACTGTTAATAATTTTCAAACATTTACACCATGCAGGGTTAACCTTACAGTAGTGCTCAACACTGTCAGACTTTCAAAATCCTTCATCACTTGAATTAAGATGATAATAACTGAACACATCCACTACAAAATCAGACTTTAGTACCGCCTTTTACTTTGAGATTGATCTGAAGTTCAATGCAGATTTAAAATCATAAGAAATAGTTTACTGATACTGTTTTTGAAACCAAATCTTTGCATAACTACAGGAAACACTGCATCTAACAATGGTATGGGAAAAAAATTGTTAATTAAAAAATAATAATAAATAAAAGCATATACATCAACTCAAATACGGTTATCTAAAAAGCATGTGTCCTATTGTGTACTAAACTCCTGAAACATTGGGTCTTTTTGAAACATTGGTGTCTCTTTGTATATGATATGAGATAGTTTTCTCAAAATAAGTAAAATACTCATGAAGTGACTCAGAGCAGTTCTAGAGATTATGTTTATATGTTCATGTACTCATATATTGAGGCGGCAGAGGCTGAAAACACCGCAAGCTTCAGTAGGTCTATGTGTAGTGAATGAAACCGCATGTCTGCGCCATTAATTTCCACGAGGGGCCGACTGGGAAAAAAATTTCAGGCCGGGAAATCTCACACTCATACACCCACAACAAATTCTGAAACATGGACAACCCTATTTTTTGTATGGACCTCACATAAAAAAAAAGGTTTAAATCCTTAGGTTGG